CTTTATTTCTTAGCCCCTCTTTTTATTTAATCCCTTCCTTTTTTTTTTTTTTTTTTTTTTTTTTTTTTTTTTTTTTTTTTTTTTTAAATTCTTTTTTTTCCCCCTTTTTTTTTTTTTTTTTTTTTTTTTTTTTTTGGTCTTTTTTGAGACAGGGTCTCTCTGTAGCCTCAGGTGGTCTGGAACTTACTATCTAAACCAGGCTGGCCTCGAACTCACAGAGATCTGCCTGCCTCTGCCTCCCAAGTGCTGGGATTAAAGGCGTGCACCACCACAACCAGCTAGGATCTGTAGTTTTCAAGCCATAAAATGACAAAGAAATCAGAGCAGCTCTAAATGAACGAAGATGTACAGGGCATTCATGTATTGGAGTAGTTACCTTAGCAAGAATGTCAGTATTCCCAAATTGATATAATAACGTAATGCAATCCTTATCAAAACAACAGCAAGATATCGTGTAGATACAGAGAAGATTCTTCAAAAATGTATACGACAAACTACAATAGCTACAAGTGTTTTGAAATAGAACAGTAGCCAGTGTACCTGATGTTGGGATGGATTGCAGGCACAATATAAACCACAGAAGTCTTTTAGCAAAAACAACATAACAACATCTCCAGGATCTAGGACTAAGCAAAGAGTCAATAGACTTTACACCATCACACAGTACATTAAAAGAAAAACTGGTGAGCTTGATTTCATCAAAAATAAAAATTTTAAGCCAGGTATGGTGGATTAAATTCCAGCACAGCACTCGGGAGGCAGAGGCAGGTATATCTCTGTGAGTTTGAGGACAGCTTCATCTACGTAGTGAGCTCCAGGTCATCTAGAGCTACATAGTGAGACCCTGTCTTAAAAAAAAAACTAAGTAAATAAAATAAAAAAGTCATGGACTTGTTGATAAAATAAAAAGGCATGCTCCAGAAAAAGTACCCACAAACCATACATCCAACAGACTAGTATCTCAAATATATAAATAATTCTCAAAATTTAATGTTTTCAAAAGGCTGTCCAATTAGAAATAGGCAGGAGGCATGAAGAAACATTTCACCAAAGAGGATATACAGTTGACAAGCAAGTGCATGGAAAGATGCCCTACATCAGGATATTCAGTGTAAGGAGCCCGGGTTGGTAGTGGGTGGTCAGTACCAACATTAATATCAATGTAATGAACCATTCAGGGAATGTGAATTAAAACCACAACTCACTGGTCTCTTCACACTTATCAGAATGACTATAGTGGACTCACAGCTCAGATGCAGCTTAGTGGTGGGATATTTGCCTAGCATATGTGAGATCCTGGGTTTGAGTCCCAGCACCAGGGAAATAAAGGGATGGGTAAAAAACCAAACGTTGGATGAGGGCAGAGGGAAACCAGGTAACTCATGCATACCTTATTGGTGGGAACATAAGATGACCCAGTCACTCTGGGAAAGTTTTTGACAATTTTTTAATTTTTTGATATTTGGTTTTTTAAATTTTTAATTATGTGTATGTGTCTGAATATGGATTTGTACACAAAAGCATAGTGCTTATGGAGGCCAGAGGTGTCAGATTCCCCTGGGGCTGGAGTTATAGGCAGTTATGGGCTACCTAGTATGGGTGCTGGGTACCAAATTTGGGCCCTCTGTAAGAGCAGTAAGTGCTCTTAACCACTGAGCAATCTTTCCAGTTCCAAGTCTGAAAACTTTAATAAACTAAAGATATAACTAACATGCAACCAAATAGTTGCACACCTTGGCATTTATCCCAGAGAAATGAAGGCTATGTTCACACTAAAACCTGTACACAAATATTGCTCACAGGTTTATTTGCCATAGCACCACACTGGAAACCACCCAGGTGTACTTCCGCGAGTGACTGATTAATTAAACAATGTCAAACCATATTACATAACACTAGTCTGCAATAAGGGGTGGGGGTCTACTTTTCCACACCACAGAATGAATTAATTCCCAGAATATTATACTGGATAAGGGAACCCTGTGCTAATGTTCACATCTAAGATTTCACTTATTGAAAATGGAGACCATGAATGAGTGATTTCTGGGATTAAAGAGAAGGTGTTGGTGGGAGGTAGGCGATGGCTCTGAGGAGGCATCAGGAGGAAGCCGTAAGAGCTTCACTGCCTAAACCTGGACACAACATTGAACTCAAGTGGTGCAAGATACTACCTTGGTGGGAAAAAGCACACAGGATCTCTCTACACAGGTCCTCACAAATACATGTGAATTATAATAATGTTAAAAATGAAACATTTAAAACACAGCAGTGTGCCTTTGAATTTGGTGTTTGGAGTCAGAACTGTCCCTGCAGCATCACCTCTCAGGAGCAGAAGGGCCTTGCTCTCCGTATCTCCTGTGAAGCCCTGGAGGTCCCAAAGTCCACGATCACATCACCAGCAAATACGAGGCCACTTTTACTTGCTTTTATTAATTTTTTAAAAATGCATAATTAACTTCATGACTTAGGAAGCTTTTTATATTTAAAGGAAGTACCACTATCACCCATCAAGAAATTCTGGGTCTTCTTTTGTGACAAGAGATCAGTTTGTTCTCTGACAGGGGAAGTTAGGTCTTTCCCTATTCCTGGAAACACACCGCACATCTTCTCTAACTGGGGCAGTGTTTGATGTCCTCGTTAGAGTATGTGGGTCACTTGGCCCCTCCAGCTACCTCATTTGGCTAATTGCATTGCTCACACAGGGTGGCCATATCTTTTCCATGCCTGAAAGACACAGGACAAGACATTTGCTTATTTGTTTGTTGGGCATACTTGGCAGGATCTGCTGAGTTTGATGATGGAACGCCGGCTCTTGCTACCTTTTCAGTCTGCTCTAGGTTTGCTTGGGAGGGCAGCAGATCAAAATGGTTCAGAGGCTAGGATCTTCTCATTTCCACTCATCTTAAACCAAAATTCTCATTGTTGAACGACTGCCAGAAGATTTCTTTTGAAAGTTAAAAAAAAAAGTCAAATGTATCAGCCTACGTTAGACTTACTACAGTTTTTAATTCAATCCTTTGATTCAATAAAAGGAGGAACAAAACTCAACAACCAGAAGTTAGAGACGGGTGGGAGAGGTGGTCCAGCAGGCAAGGCACTTTCTGCCTGATTGTGCAAACCTGACAACCTGAGTTTGATCCCTGGAACCCACATAAAAGTGAAAGGAGAAAACACCGGCTGTCCATTGCAGAAGACCTGGGTTCGAATCCCTGCACCCACATGGCAGCCGACAACTGTCCGTGACTCCAGTTCCAGGGGATCTGACAGCCTCTTTTGTCCTCCACGGGCACTGCATGACATGGGTACACTTACCTACATGCAGGCAATACATGCATATACATAAAATAAAAATAATATATAAAATATTAAAAAAAAATCTCCACCAAGTTGTCCTCTGACCTCCACACATATACTGTTTCAAGTGCACACCCCCACATATTATGAACACACAAACACACACAATAATAATAATGAATAAAAGAAAGTAAATAAAACTAGTGACACATATAGGGCCCCCAAGGCCGGAGGGTCTGCGTTTGTACAGTGTCACTCATGTTACAACATTAACTTAGAAAAGATACTTTAAAGGAAGTGATTACCTTAATCTTCTATGATTGTTTAGTAACTGGTTACATTCAATCGGCCAGAGGACCAGACAGAACAAATACAGGAGGCAAACTGATCTGTCTCCCCAGCCCCCAAGAGTTGGCACATACTAATCTCTTACCACAGAAGGGCAGATGCCCTGGCCTTTTGGACTCCAGGACTCTCACCCGAAGCTCCTCCCCAGCTTCTCAGGGTTTGGGTGTCTAACTGAGAGGCATCTCAGAGCCTCCAGTTTGACCTATCATGGAACTTTTTAGCTGCCATAATAGTACCGGCCAATTCCCTAATAACCTCCCTCTTGTATGTTTATATACACATCATATTGGTTTTGTTTCTATGGAGACACCTGACTAATACACCTTCCTGTCCTTTTGTACAACTGTGTATTTACTTCTAAAAATAGCAATTATTCCCTAATATTTGTTTTCATTTTATTCCCTAATATTTGTTTTCATTTTAAAAGCAAGCCTTTGTGATTAAGGGCATAGAAAGTGTTACATAAGAAAGAATGCAGGAACTGGGGCCATATCTCGGTTGGTAAAGTGCTTGCCAAACAAACACAAGGGCCCAAGTTTGGATTCTCCTGAACTCACATAAAAAGCCAGCGACAGCATTGTGTACATGTAAAATCCCAGCACTTGGGAGGCAGCAATTAGGAGACTCACTGAGGCTTGCTGGCCAGCAATCTGGCAGAATCAGTGGACTCCAGATTCAGTGAGAGACCCTCTCTCAAAATAAGGTAGAGAAGTAATTAGGGAAAACATCCAACATTGACTCTGGCCCATGTGTACACACCATGTATCAATTTTTAAATGTATTTATTTATGTGTATGAGTGCTTTGCCTGTATGTATGTAAGTGTACCATGCATGTGCAATGCCTGTAGAGGCCATAAGAAGGCATAAGATCCCCTGGAACTGGAGTTATAGATCTTTGTTAGCCACCATGTGGGTGTTGGGAATCAAACCTGGGTCCCCTTAAATTATTATAAGAAAAAAGAATGTAAAGACTGAGTGAGGTAACACATCTATAATCCCAGCACTCACTAGACTGAGGCAGAAAGATAAGTTTGAAGCTAGCCTAGGTAACCTAGCAAAAACTTGTCTATAAATAAAAGACTAGCAAGAAGGAATGTAGAATCTTCTCCAGGAATTTTTAGAAAGAATGTCCAAAATTTTTAAGTGCCCTGTTTCTTATTCTATTAGTTTATTTTCAATATTCTATGAGTGGTAGTGATTAAGAATCAATAAATTCAGAAAAGTGCCAGGAAGTACATAACACCTGTGGAGAAACTTTTTCTATTCTTTCAAAATCGAGTTTTTCCTGGTCAAAAATTAACCTCTATTCTAGATGTTTAAAATGTCAGAAGGAGCCGTGTGTAGTGGCGCACACTGGCAAATTCAGCACCTGGGAGGGTGAGGCAAGCAGACTGACAGAAGAGTTGGAAACCAGCCTGAGCTACATAGTAACTTCCAGGCAAGCCTGAGCTACCATGTGAGATCCTATCTTTAAACAAAAAGTGGGGCTAGAGAGATGGCTCAATGTCTAAGACCATTTGCTGCTCTTGCAGAAGATCCAAGGCAGGTTTCAAGTATCCACACCAGGGACCACTCACAACTCCCTATAATGCCATCTCCAGGAGATCCAATACCTTTTTCTGGCCTCTGTGGACACTGGCATGAACATTGCTTACACATACACAGATGCATACACACATAAATATAAATAAATAAAAATAAAAAACTGTACTATTAAAGAGTGTTTTAGAGTCGGATGTGGTGGCACATGCTTTTAACCCCAGGACTCAAGAGGCAGAGGCAGCAGCAGGCAGATCTCTATGACATTGAGGCCAGCCCAGTCTACATAGTGATTTCCAGGCCAACTACAGGGAGACCCTGTCTCAAAAAAAAAAAAAAAAAAAAAAAAAAAATCCAAGTTCAGGTGCAGTCAGTGTTGGTTCCTGGTTGCCTCGTGGTTAGCAAATGGTGCCTTCTAATCACATGCACACATGCTCACTCTATTTACAAAGACACTAAGTCCATTAGATCAAGGCCCCTGACTTATGACCTCATTTAACATCTATTACTGTTTTAACAAACACTGGGGGTGCTACAGTTAGGGTTGGGCCTATCCCCTAAAGCGTCAATACCTTGGTCCCCCCTGCTTGATGCTATTGAAAGATGGGGGAACCTTTAAGAGGTAGGGCCTAGTGGGAGAATTTAGGTCATCATGGATATGTGCTAAAAGAGGGACATGGGACACCCATCTCTTCTCTTTCTTTTCCATCTTGTTCAGGAAATGAATAGTGTGCTCCACTAACCACTCCCCATCACGAAATGTGACCTCAGCATGAACCCAAAGCAATTGGTCAATTGGTCACGGACTGAAACCTCCATAACTATGAACCAAGATAAACCTTTCCTGCTCCTTATAAATGATCTCAGGTATTCATTAACAGTAATGGAGAGGTAGCCCTACACATAGTCCATAACAGGTAATAATGCTAAAATTATGCTTTAAATCATGTTCAAAACATAACTTTATAAAATATGAATTATAAATATGGGTTATATAAAATTCATGTTTGCTTATTCTTAATGCATGAAAAATCATAATCATTTAAAATATATAAATATAAAAAGAAGGCGTTTATCAAGCTCAAAATTTTATTAACTACTATGAGCAACTTGCCCCTAATTTTACATACAACTTGGATTATAACTTATCTCCTGAAGTTCAGATTGTCAAGAGAATCAACTAACAAACTTTTATGCAGTAACTTAATTAGAAATCAAAGAAGAGTACTAGGAACAGAAATTGAAACCTAGACCAAAGGACCTTAAGATGAGAAATAAGGTGTTGGAAAGGTGGCTCAGTGGTTAAGAGTGCTTGCTGTTTTTGCAAAAGACCCAAGTTTAGTTCCCATCACCTATGCTGGGCAGGACACAACCACCTGTAACTCCATGCCAGGGAATTTAATGCCTTCTTCTGGCCTCTGGGGACACACACACACACACACACACACACACACACACACACACTGAAATGAATCTTTTAAAAACTGATGAGACAAGGAGTCAGGGAGGGGGTCAGTTACCCCTCCCACCCAATCAGTTGACCTTAGCTGCATGTAGGGAGAGGGGCAAAGGATATATAAGCGGAGAACACCAAGAAGCACCTCTCTCACCATTTTGTGCGGCTGTCAGGAAGTCACAGGATCTGTATTTGTGTGGATTTTACGGCACAGCCGTAAATGTGGGGTGCCCACTCTTCTGTAAATAAACCCCTATCCTATGCAAAAATAAATAAATAAATAAATAAATAAATAAATAAATAAATAACTCAAAGTCAAAACCAGAGACAGGTGTAGCTAGCAAGGAAAAGTGAGACCAAGGGCAGAGCAGTCTGTGCCCAAGTAAGAAAGGAGCCAAGCAAGGATTAAAAGCAGAACAAAAGCCGGGCGTGGTGACACACGCCTTTGCACCCAGCAGGAAGATCTCTGTGAGTTCAAGGCCAGCCTAGTCTACATAGTGAGTTCCAGGCCAGCCGGGGCTACAGGGAGACCCTGTCTTAAGAGGACAAAAAAAAAAAAAAAAAAAAAAAAAAGCAGAATAAATTCCCTCTTAATAGTCATTGAATGACAGGAATTTGTACATTGAACTGTTTCTTTACCCCCTCACAGGAACACTGCAGAGCAGGCATTGTTTCTTGTACATGGATGACTGACAGGAACGGAGACTTAGGGGGTAGGGAGTGGGAAGAAAACAGGAATTGAGAATCGAATTCAAATCTGCCAGTTGAAAGTTCCCTGTGCACCTTTCCTGAGGTTCATGGTCTCAGGTGCTGATGTTAAACGAAGACTTCCACTAATCAATGACTTCCCCCAAACCAAAGTCTTGTTAGCCACCCCCGATGCAACTGTATTTAATAAAAATATTTTTACTTCCTTGCTTACAAGTTAGGTCACTTTGTGACACTGCCACTCTTCAGAAACTGGTAGCAGGTAAATTTTTTGTTGTTGTTTGTTTTTTGTGGGTTTTTTATTTTTATTTATTTATTTTTTTCGGCCTTTTTGAGACAGGGTCTCCCTGTAGCCCCAGCCTGCCTAGAACTCATTATGTAGACCAGGCTGGCCTTGAACTCACAGAGATCCACCTGCCTCTGCCTCCCTAGTGCTGGGACCAAAGGCGTGCACCACCACACCCGGCTCAGCAGGTAAATTTTTAAAGTTATGGTCCCTAGCTACCTAGTGATAAGTGTGTAAATAATTAGCCCATACAGCATTCAGTAGTTTGCTGCAAATTCTACAGATATGCCCTCATGGAACACAGGTGGAAAATGTCTGGAACCCCAGCATTTGGGAGGCTGAGGCAGGAAGATTATGAGCGCAAAGCTAACCTGGGCTACGCAGTGAGATCCTCTTCCCTACCTTCCACACCCCACAAGAAGTATAATCATGTCAGTGGGCAAGTTTGACCTCAGAAGTCACTGTCTCTTTGGCACTTCATTGTCCAATTCACCTCCATTAGACAACAGTAAGACTTTGGGGGGGGAGATCATACTACTAATATTCTCCTGTACTTTCTGAGACAGAGATTTCAGTCACATCTACTCTTCTGCCCCCACCCCCATTATTCCTCTGTCCCATTTTGCAAGAATGTCCCACCAGGACGGCTAAACAATCCACCTTTATTAAGTACCCTGGGGCTGCGCTCCTGTCCTCAGGGAGCATGACACATGTTCCAATGTGGGTCAGGAACTAGGGTGAAACCATAATCCTGGGTACCATGGAGCATGTAGGGATGCCAACTGAAATACACATAATCTTTCTTTAAGTGGTGGTGCTTTCCCTGGGATCTCAACCCTCAACACACAATAGCCCTCGCTGTCTCCTTTCTCCTTTAGAATTTTGTTTTTAAGTAAAAAAGACCAAATAACATGGATCATAGTTCAACTAATAGCTTCTCATTATATTTTCTTAATTTTATGTGTGTTAGTAAGTGCACGTGCATGCAGGTGCCCATGGAGGCCAGAGATGTTGGATCCCCCAGGACCTGGAGGTACAGGTGGTTATGATCCTCAT